GTGATATTATCCCAGGAGGGATTTGACATCTGAAAATAAAGATAAAAATGTAACATGTGATATTAATAAGATAATAGGCAGAAACCAAATGATCACCTTGGTAGAGAAAAAGTATTCGACAAAACCCAGTGCCCTTTGGTGATAAAAACACTAAAAAAAACTAGGAACAAGAAGGGTACTTCCTCAATCTGATAAAAGGTATCATCTTTAAAAAAGTAACCCTCATCTAACATCATCTTAATAGTAAAAAGGGTGCTTGCTCTCTCCAGTTTTACTTAATAGTGTAGCTGGGACTATTAGGTAAGCTGGGTGAGGAGCAAAAAGGCATCCAGATTGGAAAGAAAGGAAAATTATATCTATTTGCAGATCGTTTGATCTTGTATTTAAGCATGTCTGGATACCGAGACGAGAAAACAAAATATATGACTACAGAAATTAAGGAAAAAGTCTTACTAATTTCAGAGTGGACATGTGTTCTCAGTCTTCTTGTTAACTGATGAACTGGTAAGTTCTTATAGTGAGTATATAGAAAATCTAGGTAAAACAATATTTTTCACAAATTCTTATTTGTTTTCATAATTTACTTTTCTTCACCTTGTCAGAATATTCTAACAAAACTAGTGAGAAGGGTTCACATTCGATATATACTCTCCTTATATATGTACACATACAAACTATATACCTTCATATGTATGTATGTATATATGATCATATTTTATATATTTGACTTTCTTTGTTGATTAATTAAAAAAAGAGAAATTCTAAGGAAACCACTAAAAATTGGTTACAATAAATGAGTTCGACAATATCACAAGTACAAGACCATTGTTCAAAAATCCACTGTACTTCTATACAGTAACAATGAAAAATCCAAAATGTAATTAAGAAAAAAATTCTATCTACAATAGCAAGAAAAAGAATAAATATTTAAGAATAATAACAAATGAAGTAGAAGACTTATACATTGAAACTTCAAAAAATCACTGAAGGAAATTTAAGATCTAAATTAACAGAAAGACACTCCATTTTTATCAATTGAAGACTAGTATTGTCAATATGATAATACTCCTCAAATTGATGAACACATTTAATGCAATCCCTAATGAAGTGCCAGCAGATTTTTGAAGGGATAGAAATTGACAAACTAATCGTAATAGTCACATGGAAATTTAAGAAACCTGTAAAGACAATCTTGGGGGAGAAGGGAAGAGTGAAGTTGGAGAACTCATGCTTTTCCAATGTCAAAACATACCAGAAAGCTGGTCATAAAACTGATATTTGCATATAGTCAGGCAAAAAAAGGTTAACTTACACTCCAAAAATAAACTCTTACCTTTATCATTAATTGATTTTTGACAAAGGTGCCAAGACAATCAATAGAGAATGTTCTTTTGACAGTGCTGAGATAATGAGACATTCACATCCAAAAAGATGAAGCTGGACACTACTTCAAACATTCTATAAAAATTAAAAATGGATCATAAAAAAACATAAGAGATACAAATATTTAATTCTGGAGAGACATAGGAGTAAATCTTCATGATCAATAGACGAGGCAATGGTTTCTTAGTCGTGAAACAAAAGTAAAAATAGATAAATTGGACTTTGTCAAAATTCAAAACTTCCAATTATGCTGCCAAAAATATGAAAATACAATCCACAAAATTGGAGAAAATGTTTGCTAGCCATATATCATGCTACTACATATGTTATATATATATTACAGAATATGTATAGGGTGCTTACAACTCAATAATAAAAAGACAAACAATCCAATTATAAAGTGACAAAGGATTTGAATAGCTATTTTTCCAAAGAAGATATACAAATGGCTGTTAAACACATGAAGAAATGCTTAGCATCATTAATTATTAGGAAGATACAAATCAAAACTATGACGAGACACTACCTCACACTCACTAGGATGGCTACAGTCAGAGTAATGTATTCAACAATGTTGACAAGAATGTGGTGAAATTGGAACCCTCATGTACTGATGGTGGAAAGTTAAAGTGGTGCAGCCATTTAGAAAACATTTAGTTTTCTCAGAATGTTAATCATAGGGCTACCAAGTGATTCAGCAATTCAGCTGCTAGGAATAAAACCAAGAGAAAACATATCCACATAAAAACCTGAACACAATGCTCATGGTAGTATTGTTCATACCAAAACACAGAAACAATCCAAATGTCCATCAGCCAAAGAATGGATAAACAAAATGTGGTATATCCAGCCAATGAAATACTTGTATTCAATAAGAAAATGAAATGACTGCTATATGCTATAGTGTGAATGACCCTCAAAAACATTGTGTTAAGTTGCAGGAATTAGTCACAAAAGAACAAGTATTGTATGATTTTATTCACATGAAATGGTAAGAATAAGTAAATCCACAGAGACAGAAAGTAGATTAGTGGTTGCCTGGAGCTGAGGGAAGGTTAGGGGGAAATGGGATTTGACTGCTAATGGGTACAAAGTGTCTTTTTTGGGAGTGATGAAAATATTCTAAAATTGGATCTATCCAATCACCTCTAGGTGATCATTGCACATCTCTGAATATACTGAAAACTACTGACTTGTATATTTTAAATAGGTGAATTTATGGAATATAATTATGTCTCAATAAATCTGTTAAAAAAAAAGAGAACTGGGGATATAGCTCAATGGTAGAGTACTTGTCTAGCATGCATGAAGTCCTGAGTTTGACCCATGGCACCATGAAACATAAAGGGGAAAATGTTAAGCATAAAATTACCAATACATTCCTGCTAATCTATACAAGAGAATAAAACACATGTACACACACACAAACATACATATATGTAAATATATATAGGAAACCATCTATATGCTTGTCAACTAGTGAATGGGTAAACAAATGTAGTATATATATACGGTAGAATATTACTCCTTGATAAAAAGGAACATATTTAGGATACATACCACCCTGTAGATAACCCTCAAAAAACATCATGCTCAATGAAATAAGTCAGGGACATTATGGTATAATTTTATTTGTATGAAGTGTCCAGACAAAGCAAGTTTATTGAGGTAGAAAGTGGACTGGGGCAGAGAATAGAAACAGTGATTAACTGGAAATGGGTATGGCAGACATTTTTGGGGTGGTAGAAATGATCTAACACTGGATTGCTGTGAGGGTTGCATAATTCTATAAATCTACTAAAATCATTTAATTACACGTTATGATGGGTGAACTGTATAATATTTAATCAATAAAACTCACTTTGAAAATTAAGCCTCAGGACTGGGAATATAGCTCTGTGGTACAGCACCTGCCTAGCATGCAGAAGTCCTGGGTCTGATTCTTAGCAACACACACACACATACACACACACACACACACACCAAAAACAAAAACAAAAACAAACAAACAAAAAAAAACATAAAAATTAAGAGTCTCTATTCCTTAAAAGACAATACTAAAAGTGAAAATCCACATCATAGATTGGGATAAAATAGTTGTAAAACACATATTTATAAAGTATTCCTATACACAATAAAGAAATCCTAGAGCCATGTGTGGTGGTGTATGCCTGTAGTCCCAGTGAATCAAGAAGCCAAGGCAGGAGGATGGCAAGTTGGAGACCAGACTCAGAATTTAGCAAGACCCTCAATAACTTAGTGAGACCTCGCCTCCAAAGAAAAAATGAAAAGGGCTGAGGATGTAGCTCAGTGGTAAAGCATCCCTGGGTTCAATCCCAAGTACTAAAAACAAAAACAAAAGCAAAGAAATAAAGAAAGAAAAAAAGATCTACAAATCAATAAAGAAAACACTGATATTTGAAGGGCAGCACCAGACTTGAAGAGGCATTTCACACACAGAGAATACCCCAAAGAATCAATTGGCAAATAAAAAAGATGTTTAATCCCATTAATAATCAGTTAAACACAAATTAAATTATTATAAATTATAACTTTACCAGGCTGGCTGAATTAGAGAGGTGGCTATACCAAGTGTTGACACAAATATGGAGCAATTATTACTTTCACACATTGTTTATGGGCAGTAGATTGGTACAAACACTTTGCATTACTTTTTGATATATACTAATTTTGAATATCTTTAAAACTTACCATGAACAATTCCAATATCTGGTATATACTCAGAAGATTTAATTGTATGTCAATCAAAACACAAGTAAAGAATGTTCATAGTAGCATTCTTTTAAAAAATATTTTAAATTGTAGATGGACAAAATATCTTTTTTAAATTTTTTTATTTTTATGTGGTGCTGAGGATGGAACCTAGTGCTTCACAGGAGAGGCAAGTGCTCTTCCACTGAGCTACAACCCAAGACCTAGTAGTATTATTTTTAGAAGCATCAAGCTAGTTATAATAAAAATGCATATTAATAATAAATTTGATAATTGGCACTACAGTAATAGAACAGAATACTATTAGGAAATGAAATGATAAACTACAGATTCGTGAAACAACATAATGTTAAGTGAAGGAGGTTGGAGAGAAAAGAATACATACTGTATCTTTCTAGGCAGAACTTAAACTATAGCAAGTGAGGTAAAAAATGCTATTGGGAAAGTATTGCCCGAAAGTTGGCTGGCGTATTAGAAATATACATTTCTTTTTGTGGAAGTGGCCAAATTGGTGTATTTGCAAAAATTTTTCTGGGTACACATATATTTTTACATTTTACTAAATGCTTTTATATAGTAATAAAAAAGCAAGAGTATATTTAATGTATCTGCTTCATTTTGATAACATAAACACAGAATATACATCCTAGAAACTATGAAAATTTACTTCTGAAGTGATTTAGAATGGTCTAGGGGAGAAGATGAAATTTCTCTGAATTTATCTTTTTCACATAGTTTTGATTTTTGAATCATATTAATATTTTGCTATTAAAAATAAAATTATTTCAAAAGGAAGAACACATAATTTTTAGGAGGTGGTAGCAGACACAAATATAATGACAATAAATGTTTTCTGTACAATTTCCAGTCTCTTTTGGAGATATGTTGGGGCCCTGTGGCTAGTACCAGCCCAAAGGCTCTCTAAGTAAGAGCAGCCTCTGGACAGAAACCCAGAAGAGCTGATTTGACCCCTCGGTGTGCTCTTTCCCCTTGTTTTGTAAAGGAGGACACATCCTGAAAGGCATGCAGTGGCAAAATGGAAGTTTCCAGCATCTCTGAGTCACCACGTGGAGCACAGCTGCTCTGAAGAGTTGCCTACTTTGCACTGGAGCTTTTGAAAGTGCAAAAGAAACCTTTTTGATTTGGAAGATCATTTGTTTTCTCAACTTTCAACACAGTTTATCCTATTCTGCCCCAATCAGGGATGACATAAAATTGAGGTGATTTGTTGAGAATGAGGAGACATAGTGGTTATACTGGGAAAATTGAGGAGAGAGAAAAAGGTTTTCTACAGTACTTAGAAGAATAAGAATGGGGAGATTGATAGAGGATTAGAGCCAGATGGAGACTAGAGATCCCATTTTATTTTCATTTTAAGAGCAAAGAAACTCGGACCTGAGATCAGGTCAAGGGCATGGAACAAGTTAACGGAGAGACAGAATTATAGGCCTAGTTTCTGAGACCTTGAGAGTAGCCTAATGTCTCAGAATCCACTGAGTTGAACTCCAGCTGCTGTTGAGAGCCGCTGCACATGGCTCAGGGTCCTTTGGGATGTTCCGAGCTTCTTTCAATTCCTGGTAAAAAGTCTTGATGGGAAGGGTAGCTATCTGAACGCTTATCAGGTTTTGTTTTGCCCCCAAGTCTCAAGTCACAGGAGATCTCCTTGTCCTTTTCACTTTATTCTTTTTCCGCCCAGGATGAACTAAAGTCATCAGGAAATGTCTTTCAAAGAAATACGCTTTCACTGTTTACTCCCTACTTCTTATTGTTTGGTTTTTTTTTAAAAACGATTTAAATCACTTGGGTGAACAAAGTAGACAAAAAATAAAGCAAATATCCCTGAAGAGAAAATTGTTGTCCCATATTTGGTGTTTTCTGGATGGATAACAAACTTTGTTGTGCCCCTATACATAAAGAGAACAGGAAATACCTCTGACATTGTGGTGAATGACTATCTAGAGGGCTCGGGTAATTTTTGCCACAGATTTATTCTTTTGATTTGAAAAAACTCTTTTTTGAGCATTTTTCAGGACTTGAACCAGTCATCAATCTACCCCCAACTCCAGGCTCCACCCTAACATTTTCTATCCGTGGTTTGGGTAAATTCTCCTTGGTGTCTTCTTGGGCTCTTACTGGCAATAGTTTACCCTTACTTCTCATTCCCCACCACCCTTCTGAGCTAGGATCATCACTAAGATGGGAATTTCCTAGTCTCTCTTCTCCATCTCTACTCTGAGCCTGGAGATTAAGAGAAGTCATTGTCACATCATCATTGGTCAGCCAATCAGATGGGCATTTCCCTCCAATGACCTCTCTGTCCTATAGAAGTTCTCAGGCAGCTTCAATGGAAGGAGGGAGCTAAGAAGGTGGCCTAGTATAAGTTCAAAGATGATCATTACAACATGGATTTTGTACATTCTCGCCCGGAAAGGTATAGGGCTCCCCTTCCCACCAAGGATGAGTTCGGTAAGTGGTTTTGGTGGTGGCCGTGTGAAATTTTTCCCCATTTACCTTCTCCCCACTGCACCCCCACTGCACTTCAAAAAGAGATTAAAGTATTATGTTTGGATAAGAGACATAGGGTGGGGGCTGGGTTCTAGGTTTTCTGAGATTATCCAATTACCTATTTGTTGCAGGATGTTGAAGTTGTGGAAAGTGAGGCTGTATCGGTAGTAGAGCACTGGTTGAAAAAGGTGAGTAGGATACTTCTCTGATTCTGGGTATCCAAAGATCTAGAGAGATAGTTTTGGGGGGCCAAGGATCTAGGCTTCTCTCTTCATAAAACTGGGAAACCCAAGTTCATTATGAGATACCTGCTTAGAGTTGAATCTAATTCATCCAAATGTCCACAAAGACAATGGGGCTCTTGTCCTGGTAAGATATGTGTTAGCATCAGCATAAACCAGGCGCATGTCTCAGGAACACTGCGAGATAGGGCCAGGGACTTGGGGAGTTCCCTGGGACCTCAAGGAGAGTAGAAACAGAGGAGCTTAGTGCAGGAAGTGTCGGGTATGGAGTATATGTTCATGGATGCATGTTATGTGTGGTATGATGGAGAAGAAAAGAGAAGGAATAAGAGAGGAAGACTCAGAATTAAAGGGGAGTGATGTTTGGTGTTGTCATGAAAAACTATAATCCCAGAGGCTCAGGAGGCCACGAGGCAGGAGGATCACAAGTTCAAAGGCAGCCTTTGTAACTTAGCAAGCCCCTAAGCAACTTAGCAAGACCTTGTCTCAAAATAAAACATAAAGAGGGCTGGGGATGTGGGGATGTGGTTAAGCACAATACTTGGTACGAAGAAAAAATAAAAAGGAGAATGACACTCTCAGGAGGAAATTACTCCCTTTTCAGACAGAAGAGGAGGCTTCCCAGGACATAAAGGAGAAGATGTCCACCAACTCTTCTCCTACTCATGGCCAAGATGTGCACGTGACCAGAGATGTGGTAACTGTGTTTGAGATGATTACCCTGGGAATGAGGGTTTGAGGAGAGGCAGGATGACCCACTATGAGGGATGCTGGGCCAGGGCTCAGCTCATTCCCAGCTATGGGGGCCCATGCTGGTCAGTAATCACATGGACCCCTGCCTGGATTTCCTAGGTGAAGCACCAACTTTCGAAGTCTGATCTATTAGCAAACCAGAGTCAAGAGGTACTGGAGGAGAGAACAAGGATTCAGTTCATAAGATGGAGGTAAAGCATCATTTGCCCTGAGCAAAGAGGTGGGGAGGGCCGATGAGAAAGCACAGGTACTTCTTTCCAGGACCCACTGGGCCAACACAAACCTACAACCGCTCTTCTCTAGAGATGCCATCTCCTTTGGCTAAGAAATTTCTCAGTCTTTTTTGTTTGTTTATTTGTTTTAATTAGTTACACAAAATTTCTCAGTCTTGCTTTGGGGTCTTAAGGGAATATTTTTGCTGTCTTGAAAGCTCAGATCATTTGTATATTTTTAAATGACTTGAGGGGTTGGGAAACTGGGCTTGCTCTCCATTCCCTAAATGCTTCTGAATACATTTCAGATTTCTGTCATTTTTTTGCACTTGAATTGTTCAGAAGTGCCTGTACTTTAAGAGTTACCCGAAAAAATAATCTTTAAAATGCAAAAGTCAAAGCCCTCCTCTGCAACTGAGGTGTGTGGTGGTTTCCCAGTGCCCAAGGCTAGAATGCTGTGACAAAACCACATGATGGTGGCTTCGTTATTCTCTGCAGGCCAGCCTTTCTCTGGGTTGTGATGATGCTAACACTAAGGGAAGAGAGAGCTGGTGTGAAGCTGCCCCTCTTTGGGCAGAGGCATTTAACTTCCTTTCTGGTCCCTGAATTTGGCTGAAGCTTTGGACAACTCCAAATCCCTTCCTAGTAGACAGACTGTGGGCTTAAATGGGTCTATAGAAAACTGAAGAATACTCTCATCTTTCAACTCTTCTGCACCAATCTTTGGTTTTGTTCTTTGCTCTCAAGGAGGCTGTATTTCTTAAGACATGTATTTTTGTTTCAGGATATCAGGTTTTCCAGTGGCACCTACATTTTAGGAGAATTTAAATGTGCAGTAACCACATAACAGGAAGGGATAACCAATGGTGGAATCTGAGAACTCTCTGGGAAGGAGCTTTTTGAATGAGAAACTTGCCAGGGATCCTTAAATCATTAATGCTGTTGATTGTAATCCAAGGTTTTCCATAGCAGTTGCACTATGGAATTCTAAGTGTTGTATTTCTTGGATAATATGCACATCATCTTCCAATATTTTAAAACCTTTGCTGTATAGCCTAATTAGATTTAAGCTTTAGAAAAAGGATATAGGAACCAGTAGATTTTCAACATACAAGTTTTTTACTCTGGATTTTCAATGGAGATTTTAAACCAACAGCATCTTCCTGTTTCCCACCCACACAAATGGTTTAATAGACAGGTACTCACCACCAATGTTTGCTGGCCCCATTGGAGGAGAGAAAAGAACAAGACACAGTCATTAATTTCAGAGGGTTAAAAGTTGACCTGGTAGATATGGTGTGAGAAAGTTAAAGATAGTGTTAGGGAAGTCCTAAGGAGTATCTGTGAGCACAGCATGGGGGACGTAGGTCACACATATGCTGGGCTGTGCTGCCCAGGATTTTTGAGAAACTCCATAGCAGGCCTTTTGCCAGGACTGGCTCTTGAACTAGGCATTACTGGAGAAACAGGGGATAAGACGAGAGTTTCAGAGACCAGGAGAGTCAGGTACCCATGGTATCCCATGTGTATCCAGGGTTCAAGGCTGTGACCCCTTCTTCTCTGGAGCACTCCTTTCCCTCCCAGGCTGGGAATTCCTCCCTCAATTGGGGACAATTCCTTGTTTTCATCTCCTCATCTGGGTGCTGATCTGTCTCTGCCTTGTAGGCTCCATATTCAGGATTACACCTTTACCTCCTTATGGCAGAGGACCATTGGAGGCAGTATCAATGCTGTTGTCACTTTCAAATGCCCACAGCACCAGGAAAAGGTCATTGCCTTGGGAGGGCAGTGTTGATGGGCACTGAAGTGGGGTATTCAGTGGACAGATCACAGGTTTCTGAAGGGAACTGGGATTCAGAATCTGAAAGGGTGCCAAGTGGGCTAGAAAGGGGGAGGCAAGTCCAGCTTGGTGAAATCAAGCAGAAAAGATAACAAGGAGGTGTCTGCAGCTTCCTTGTGACAGAATTTTCTAGAAAATTCTCTAAATCGTAGTATATATGGTATGATACTGATCATAAGAGCTGAAAATAAAGTTAGAGGGGAATTGAGATTTCCACAAGACCAATGTCTTGCTGGCATTAGTAAGGATTAAGCTTTTTTTTTTTTTTTAACTCTCCTTAGGAACATTGCTGCCTGCTCAGCATGATTGGGTGGTTCACCAGTAGTTGGTTAGTTAAAAACAAAGACAACAACAACAACAAAAACCAGAACAGAATAAAACAAAATCAAAACAACCTTACATGAGAACGGTGAGGAGTCAGCTTCAAAGTTCATAGCAATAGGCAACAGCGTTGTTCCTATGATCTCAACTCTGGCAGTTTCACTATGCCTAGTTCTAAAGAAGCTCAGAATCCCCATGTCTGAATCACATTTTGCAGCCATACCCGTGTCTTCCAAGTGCCAAGTGAGATGATGGATGACGTCATACAAGATCGAATAGAGCAAGTGAGACGAAGGTAAGTCACTGAGACTGGATGCTTTGCATTTCTCACCTGGGGTAGGTGGGGTGGGAGCCACTGCTGGATTTCCTGCCCAAACCCAGCTATGTTCTTTTTAGTGCTTTTTCTAACACCAAGGGCAGGGACAAGCAGTTCCCAGGGCTACTGTTCTCTCTCCTGTTTTATACATGGTGGTGGCTCCACAGGCCTCCCACAGTGCCTTCCAACTCACAGAAGGGCTCTGGGCTGTGGCTCTCTTCCTAGGACTTCATTCCTAGGTCTACAGGTGGTGATGGCCCAGCCACATCCTGCCCACTGCAGCCCCTGCCCCTGTGCTGTCATCTGGGTATTTGGTTTGGATAGATTTTGCCACCCAGCAGATTCCTCTCCACCCCACCCCTCTCCTGTCTCCTACAGCATTTCCCATCTTAGGACTGACTCATGTCAGGACACAAGTTTCCGATCTTCCCTCTCAAACTGCTGAGAGTCACAGGTGAGAGAGCAAGCAGGTGAGGAACTGGGCTGAGCAGATGGTTATCCTGGGTAGTAAGAAAGAGTTCTGGGATGGGGAACTCCATAATAAGGCATAGTTTATATCTCTATCAGTGTGTGTGGGTGGGTGGGGCAGATGTGCTCTGGGGCAATGAAGCCCAGGGAGACGGCAACTGCTGTTAAGTTCTTACAAAACACTCTCTTAAATTTCTGGAAGGACATATCACTAAGTTTCAGAATGGCCTCTCTGTCTCTCTTAACTGTGATGCCAGAGAGCAGTATTTCTCAATCCTTCACAGGCTTAGTACATCATATTTGAGGTTTTGGTGGGGCTGCATTTCTGCATTTCTAATAGTTCCTGGGCAGTGCTGCTCGGGCTTCTGTAATGCCTCATGCTGGTCTACCAACCTCACTTTGAGTCACAGGATCACAGAGAGAGGGTAAATCGATTTTGGGCCTGGCACCAACCAGGGATATTGTACATGACTTTTGGTACATGTCATACATGGTCTCTTTGATTATACTCAGTACTAGTTGTTGTAAAAGTGGCTGTTCATGTAGTTTCAGAAGGTAGAAGGTCAATGGCAGGGCAATCCCAACACAGGATCTTTGCTAGAAACAGTCAGTGCATCCCTGCTAGGATGAAAAACTGCTCTGGTTGTTGTGGGGGTTAAAGGCATGATTTACTCACAGCCAGCCTTTATATACTTAAAGAAGGCTATGGAGATAAAATGTTAGCATTTATCAAGCACTTACTATATGCCAGCTTTTGCATAAGACGCTTTGTCAAGGTTTCTAATTTGATCCCAAATCAACCATTTTACAGACAGTAGAGGGTAAACCAAGCCAGGGTCTTAATCCAGCTGACCCATGACAGGTGCTTCTGTGCCTCTATTTCTTCATCTACAATAGCAGTGTTTACGTCAGAGGGTTGTCCTCGGGGGGCTGTCTAGCACATGGTAAACACACATCAATTGTTTGCTAATATTCCTGGAGATGAGAAATCACAGGTGCTGGGATGGGTGTAAGCAACTCTCAGGGCCTTCTGAAGTTAGAATAATCAGAGCCAGGCTTCAATCCCAACAGTCTGATATACCACTGCCACTTTTCTTTTGTGAGTTTTCCTGGTGACAATATGAAAAACAGTAGGCTTACAAGAAGACATCACATCTGCATGATGCGCCCCTTAAACATTTGTCTGCTTCCCTGTTGAAGGCTTTCAGGGTCAAGGAGCAGCCTGTGTCAGAAGAAAGTCCACCTCCCGCTTGACCTGAAGGGTGACCAGACCTGGGCAGAGAGACTCCAGTGGGTGAGCCCTTCATTTTGACAGTGGTAGCACTGGAATCTTCTTGCTGAACTGCTAATAAAGAGACAAGCTATTTAACAACCTCCCCTGGTGTTGGCACAGATGCTATGCCTGCCATCTACCCACCCACTCATCCAACCAATGCTGGAAGTCTGGCTCTGGGGACATGTGGCTGACAAATTTGAGGGGAGATGATGGGCAATTTTCAGCAATATATGTTGAAGGCAATGTGGATGCTCCTGGAACATTAGAAAGGGTGCTGGTATGGGCTAGGCCAAGGAGAGGTGAGAAGAGGGTGGATTTGAGACAGGATAGGTGACTAGCAATATGTGTTTCATGGACAAGTGATGATAAAGGTCCTGAGGATAGGATAGACCAAGGCTAAAGGGAGAAGTTCAGTTTGGGTCCTGAACCCATCGAGGGTGGACACAAGGCTGAGTTCCAGGTATAAACTGAGGTGCAAGCTTGGAGAATGTTCGAAGTGGAGAAGTTGCACATCCAAGAGCTGCTGGCAAGGAAGGCCCTTGACTGTTTAAGGAAGGGCCCTGCCTAGATCTCAGCAGAAGAGAGGTAGGAGAGGGTAGGGAGCCTTCTGTAGGGAACACCTATCTCAGGACCCCAGGGGTGAAGCCTTTTGTCCACTATGACAAGCTGAAGTGCTGTTTTGACTCAAACCACCAGATGGCGCCATTTGCATGCAAAAACCACATTTTCTGACGGTGACTTGGTCTTTCCTGAGTCAGCTCCTGTGCAGGGCCTGGTATAGATTTTAGCACCTTTTGGGAAGCCTAAGCAGATGGACTTCCTTTGCATATTTTATTTAGTTATGAATATAATTCATAGCCACATACATAAAATGATATAGGTGCTATTCATTCAAATAAAACATATCGAGCATTTATACCTAGTGTTAATGCTAGAATATAGGATATCCAGATGAATCTTCTACCCCCAGGGAACTCAGAGAGGGTGGAGGGGCTGCCATGCAAACCAAAATGAGATACTGTGTGAAAATAAGCCAAAAGAATATAGATGGTGGAACAGAGGTGGGACTGACTTTCTGTGCTAGAGAGTTAAAAAATCAGCTGATTGCCACAGTGGTGATGTTTAAGCAGAGTTTTGGAGGTGTTGCCAGGCTCTTATGATAAAGGAGGAGTCCTCAAGGTATAGGAAATGCTCATATGGAGAGATGTGATGATGTTTAGGGAAAGAGGCCTGGCTCTGAATGTCTGGAATGCAAGGGAGGCTGGGGAGAAGCATATGGCAGGGGGGAAGAGGCTGAGAGGTTACTGCAGATCCTACAGGTGGGTGTAAAAATAATCACATGAGACAAATATGGCTTCCTATGAGAGAGAAGATGTGCCTAGGAAAAGAGGGGGGCCCATCCCATGCAGAAAGTGACAGATACTTACTATTGCCAGCTCTGGCCTGGTAGGGAATGGTTAAACAATGACAAGCTCTCACTTTCTTGAGCATACACAAACATCTGGAGTTTGGGGATAGAGGGACCCACATTAGTATTATAGCTACAATGCCTTTAAACCTAGGATGGAAATGAAATCATTAAGTGGCTCAAATGGAGTTTTGTTCTGTGCATGATTAACCCCAGGAGGGGAGTTTGGAAACAAATATGCCTCCTTTACCTGTATTACAGGGGGACTGAGCCACGGTAAATTAAAAGAAAATCACTGGCAAATTTGGGACCAGTCAGCTGTGACCAAACCATTTGTGTAGTTAAATGGAGCTGAAAGAGCTAATAAAGGCTTTTTGGGTCATGGATCTCTCCCTGATGGGAGGGCTAGGAGAGGGAGGTGGGCAGGTATGCAGGGTCTAGGCTTGCACAGGTACAGGTCATACCCAGGAACTTCTTGAAGTGCTAGTTGGGGAGGGGCATTGGTCTGTCTTTATCATCTAGGTGTGTGTCCCTTCTCATAGGACCTTTTTAATCCTAGACAGATAGGGACCTAGACCCAACTTGGGCCTTTTGGTATATCTCATCCAAGACAGACCTTATGCGAAGCCTAGCCAGGGAGCAAAAGGGGAGATGGGTTTGTTTAGATCAGCTATAAGCAGGAGCCTCCAGAGACAGTCAATGTAGAGTGAGATGTAAGGGGGACTTAAAACGCTGCTCTCACGAACTGCACTAAATGTCGTGGGGACTCCCAAAGTGAAGACACAACCAGTGTCCTGGGTATCCATTGCTAGATGGGGTGGGGCACTGGTTCATTCCCAGAGAAGGAGGTTAGGCAAGGATGCCAAATCAGCACATAAAAATGGGCCGTGCTGGGCTCAAAATGTTGGAAGCAGATGCTCCCTGTGAGCTGCCAGGTTGGTGCTCCGCCTAGGAGAATTGGCCTGGGGCAGATGGATGGGGGGGAGGATGCTGGAGGTGGAGAAGGAGTGGGGAGAGCAGAGAAGGCCTTGTGTTTCAGCCCCTGTGGGGTCTGACTCCACATCAGGCTTTAGGAGGTAAAAGCTCTGGCTGCTGGGCATAGATCCGCCTCTGATGACTTATAGGTCAGCGCTTCCTCCACGTAGTGGGCGTACACCCGGACAGCTTCTGCTTCTGTTTGCGGTATGCCCTGCGGCTCTGATATCGGCCCGTTTTATATAGGTGCCCAAATGACACCCTTCTCTCCACACAAGCTGCTTCTGCAGCTTCTCCCACCCTGGGTGTGGCGGTGACTTCACGGCCTGGGGAGGGTGCTGCTCGTCCTCTCCCGGAACGACAAGGAAACCACCAGAAGGGGGGCCGCGCGCCCCCGCGGAGCAACCAGACACATTGTTCGACATGTTTTCCAATTACTTGGCAGCCTCCGCAGCGATGCTGGAAATTCATTTTCCATCCTGAGAGGGGGAAAACAAAGGCAAGAGAAAGCGGCAGCTGCTCTTGCGAGTTGGGAAACTTTGAGGCAGCCAGCCGGAACTGGGAACTGAGCGCGCGGGATGCACGAAGACGCTGCCACCTGGGGACCCCAGGCCTCCAGGTTTCCAACCCCGCTCCCTGCACCCTGCCCACAAAGTCAGGGACTGGTTCGTGGAGGAGCTCCAAACCAGTTACTTTCTTTAAAAAAAAAAAAAAAGTGGATTATAATAGTGGGTTCATCGTCACATATTTATACCTAACACAAATATGCTCCATTTCATTACCCAGTACTTCCCAGTACTTCCTCTTTTGCCTCTTCTTCCCTCCCCTTGGTCCCCATTCCTTTCTTCTACTGTTCACCCTTCTGTTATTTTTTAAAAATTAGTGCATTATAATTATACAGGAAAGTGGGATTCATTGGGATATATTTGCATATGCACATAGTATAATTCGATTGATTTCCTCTAGCTTCCACATATGAAAGCAAGTATTCAATCCTTAACTTTCTGAGTCTGGCTTACTTCACTTAACATGATGTGCTCCCGTTCCATCTATTTACCAACAGATGACATAGCTGAGCAGACCTTCATTTATGGCTGAGCAGACTTCCATTGTGTTATAACACAGACATTGTTGGTGGGACTGCAATTCTGTACAACCACTATGGAAATCATTATCAGATTCCTCAAAAGGCTAGGAATGGAACCGCCATGTGATGAGCTATTTTACTCCTACTTTATCCAAAAGAACTAAAATCAACAAACTATAATGGAGGCATTATAACAGTGCAGTCACAATAGCCAAGTTATGGAACCAGCCTAGTGGCTTTCAACCATCCACTTTCTGTATTTTTTTCCACTTTAAAAATATTTATTAATGCGTTAGAGTTATGCATATTATTGAGGTTTATTTTGACACAATCATACATGCATGGAATATAATTTGCTCCAAATCAGTCCTCACTCCTAATCCCCTTCCTTTCCCACTCCTTCCCCTTTCCCTTCTCTATTCTGCTGGCCTTTCTTCCATTAACTTATAGTTTTTATTTTAAATTAGTGCATTATAGATGTACATAAAGGTAAAATTTGCTATGTATACTCATATACGTACATAGGATAGTTTGGTGTAGGTTTTATTCCATCATTCCTCTCTTTTCCTGATCCTCCTCTCTTCTCCATCAGAGATCATTCACTTTCATAAGGGATATACAGACAGAACTCCAATAAGAGTTTTCTTATTGTTCTTCCAGATTGTTTATAAATTCTAGTAGGTCCAGGTCATGGTTGATATTGGGTAGCTGTAACAAATGCTATTTGGCAAAGAGTGAGAACAGTTAGCTACCAATTTTCCAACCATGGATTTCCCAGATGGTGAGGATCATTCTTTAACATTCATCTACTGGGTCTCCTTTGAGATCAGAAATGTGTGGTTCTTCTCCAGCATCACTCCTCAACCCCAAACCAGCTGGAAACATTATCTTTGGTTTTCAGTTACCTACTGAGATGCTTTCTGCATCTGGAATTGACTTCTTATATCTCCCCATACTCCCATCATACCAGATTAACCACAAGGCTTTGCATAGTTCCAGTTGAGCAACACACACTTCTTCCAGGGAAGCAGAAAGGCAGCGTCTTAGATTCCTACTTGTAGGTGGTGAGGTTTCCTCAGAGGCTAGGTAGAGACACTGAATTCCACAGGGCCTAATGATCTTCTTGAGGATGTGGATTTTGACGGGAGATGAAAATAATATCCTCAATTGCTGTTTTTTTTTTTTTATGCAGGAAACAAAGCTTCAGGTACAGTTTTGTGGGAGTTCAGAAAGAAGGAAATTTGTGAGTATTCTCACCAGTTGGTGGTCCTAGGTTGTTCCCTCAATCCTCTTCACTCTGCTAAGCCTCTTTCTTTGAAAGAACACCTTTCACTGGAACACATGATACTGTTTCAACAATTCCACTCTGACATACTTATGGTGTCAGAAGTCTCTGTCCATAGACAGCAGGCTTCATTCCTCAGGGTTTGAGGTGAGGCAGGATATCATGGCAGAAGAGTGTGGCAGATGGAAATGGCTCACATGATGACCAGAGAGCAGAGAGCAAACCATCCACTTTCTTTTCAGCCCTCTTGGCATAACCACTGTCTATGATTATTTGCCCATATCTTTATTTGCCAGTTGTCTCCACCATTATGATATACACCTCCAGAGGGAC